ATTTCCTGGAAAAATTCCCGCCGGTGGAGCCACCAACCTATGCCTCTGGTGTCATTCAAAACGTGGCCAATCCGATCTACTGCCTGGATAGTATGGGCTTGGGCATCGAAAAGCCGGTGGGAATGTTCAGTTGTGCGGATAACAAAACGCATCCGCAACCCAATCAGTTTTGGGATCTGGGCGTCCATCGCGATCTGAAGATGAGGGACTACGATTCGGTGTGTCTGGATGTGCAGAGTCAGCCGCCAAATGCCACTGTTTGGATGTGGAGTTGTCACAGTCAGGGTGGCAATCAGTTTTGGTACTACGATCGCAGTAATCAGTGGTTGGTTCACTTCAAGAACAGCAACATCTGCATGGAGGGATTCGTGGAGGATGGCAATGCCAAGGTGGTCACCAATTTCTGCGATCAGAACAATCCGCGACAGCGCTGGCAATTCGGATTCGTGAACAATACCATGCTGGATAAGTTCTACGATTTGCAGTAGTCATCTGTCGAGCGAACCACACCCATTTGAGTAAACTACAGCCACATGTTGATCGCTTCAGTTCGGGGACCTCCTCGAACGTCACGGGTTTTTATTTTATTTTAGTTCATTGATCGTTGTGAAGGTTCCATTTTAGCAACAAAAAAAAAAAACGTTCACCAAGTAAATTCCATTTTTCCATTAATTCTTGCCCCATGCATTATTGATATACGGCAGCGGAAAGTGAAAGATCTGGACGGAAAGATCGCAATCGGAGCGCAGATTCTGTCTGATCGAAAGCCACAAATTCTGCTCTTTATTTGCTGTACATACACTAACTTCAAGTATTAAGATTGCCTTGAGAGCTTTGCTTAGAAATTCTAAACGAAGATTATTATTGACAATAAATTGTTTTAAATAATAAAGTTATTATATAGCTCAGGTAAATTAGAGAAGTTATATTTTTCTTTTTTCTTCTTTTCTTCTTACTTTTGTTATATTTTTATTTGTTTAATTATTAAAAATTATGTAATATAATTTAAACAGTCAACCAAACCAACGCAAATATTTCGGAAAGCACCTTAAGAATTTCTTTGAATTAAAAAAAGAGAGCATTTAAAATGCCAGTAGTATTCCTATTCTTTTGATTAGCATTTTCGACTGTCGCAAAAACCTTATCAGAGGGGCTGTTGAACTTTCTACAAAATTTTGCAAAAGCATAAGAGGAGTCGTGAAGAGGTAGAGGTAGACACCGGATAGACTGCGGAAGATGTCACCCCTCTTTCAGGTCCGAAAAACCCCCAAATGCAGTTTTGCTGATGTAATTTAAGACGCAAATTACGCGATTGTCGCAACAGAGGACGAAGATCGAAGATCCCTGAATCTGAATCTGAATGCCAATGACAGCAGGCATTGACTTAGCGTCAAGCAGTCTCGATCTGGGTTGGCTTTATCCTTATCTATGCAGTTCATTATCTTCTGGGACAAAAGCACATGCTAATTTATAAACAACGTATTGTTATTTTGGTTATTTCCTCTCAATTTTTTTTCCTCTGCGTTTTTCATATTTTGTGCATAAACAATGTCAAATGATTTGATTTTTTTGGCCAACGCGACGACGACGACGCTTCTCATTCGAAACACACAGAATGTGGGTCATCGACGTCAACAGAGATGCGCGATGTGATCGATGTTCATCTGATTTGCGTCTAAAGATGCCCTTTTTTAAGGCATTTAGCGAATTGGGTGGGATTAAGCTAATTCTTAAAAAAATTTTAGTAAAATATTTACCCGATAATATCTTGTTTACGTTTTTCAAACTTAAATAATTGTTTTTTTTTTGTGATGTTTTCTTGGAAAAATATTTACTGCCGAATACCATTAGTTTGATTTCCATCTTAAGTATCAAAGAAGGCTAGAAAATTAAGACCGCTATGACATTAACTTATACTCTTTCTAATACTAAATATAAATACTAAACTTTTGTAAATTTGATGATTTAAGTTATTTTTACTATCTTTGAAGTTTTAAATTAATTGGTTTTTATTGGTTTGTGTATTAACTCATTTAATTAACATTTAAATGTTTCAAAATAATAAATTAATAGATTTTTATATTTTTTTTTAATTTATCCGGTGTTTAAAAATTTGAAGATTTTTTAAAATGTAAAATAATTTAAAATTCCAATTCTATTTAAAATAATTCAAAATTTGAAACCTAAGATTTTTGATTTCAAAGTAAGTACATCACTTCATTCATAAGTAGGTATATATTTTTCAGATGCTCCTTAAAAAAAAGACATTTTGAAATTTATAGAGCATCAAAATATCGTTATTCCTCCTCTCTTTAATGACATTTTCATTTGTTTACGTTTTTTCGTGATATTCGCTCGCACCGAAAAATAAAAACAAGTTGATTTCGTCTAGCTCATTCACAACTATCTCAGACTCGTTTAGAAATAGATCCCCCGAGTGGTAATGACCCACGCAAACTTGTGGTGCAATTTCATCAGCCTCCCCGAAAAAAATACAGATTTCTGTCGAATTTTACTATGCCAATACATACTACATACCTGTCCCCTTGGCGAATTAAATAGTATAGAAAAACACCCCCCGGCGCTTAGAATTTCTCAAGACGCATTTTCACTTGGCTGCAACGCAATTGGAAAACATCCTGCCATCTCTTTCGTGGCGTCTATATGTTTCTCTCTCTGCGCAGGTAATATATCTTCAATGAAACCGAAAGTGAAATCCGAACTGGTTCTTTGAGGGTTGATAAGGTGGGTCTCTCACCCGAAACTATAATATAATAAACATACATACATATCTCGCAGCACGTAGGGCGGTTTTTATGCTGTGGTGTACGTGCAAGATGACACGGCATTATGCTCGGTGTTTTCTAGGTTCTAGCTCCCTTGTTTACCGTTTGCTTTTTTGTGGGGGTCAGCTAAACTCCCACCCCCATTGTCTTATATGTAATTGATGGATGTGGGTCATGCTTTCCTTAAAAATGTTGTGGAATTTCCTATACCCAAAAAAAAAACTCATTCAAGGTCTACAGAATTTTCCCCCATGTTAAACCATAAATATTAGCACGCTTAAGAGCTGACCTTGATTTGTAGGTGGGCGCCACCTCTTGTCCCCCATCGTGATCATTATAGATCAACACACGTGGCAACCTTACGTTAACCCCACATTCACATGGCCAGTGGCCAAAATCCGAATTACGTCGATTCGTGGGCGTCGACGCAAGCAAAAGTTCCTTTAGCACTACTTACATGCGTCCAACGATTAAAAATCGTCAACATCGCCCCCGCATGGCGAAAACCGCTCGTGCCGCTTCTTAAAAATACCCTGTCATTGCAGCGATCAGTGGGGTATATTAATTTTGCCGAAAATTACATTTCCCACCTCAAAGAACTCGGGAACTAATGGGGGTTCAAGTCTTAATTTTGGTATGTGGGTTTCTTTGAAGGGTTAACTTATAAAATCTGACATTAGAAAACAGTTGGTCCATTAAAAAGATCAGAACTAGACAAATTGGTTAGTGGTCTTAACTTCTTAATTGTGCCTCTTTTTTTTATATAACTTAACTACGTTTTACTTTGTGTCTGCAACTTATTTCGCTATTTTTTTAAATTTTAAAAACTGTTTTTCCCTACGAAGCACATTTTTCCCTTATTAACATTTTTAAATTTTGCGCTTAACAAGCTCACATCATTACCAAGTTACGTAAGCTTTTTATCTCTTCCTGTTTATAGTTTTACCACAGTTCGAAATAAATAGTTTCCGCCTTTAACAAATATCAATACTAAGTATCTTCCAGCCGAAAAACCTCCTGTAGAATATCGCACTTTTTTTTATTGATATGCTCTCTGAGTACGAACATGCATAGAAATACACTGGGAGCCTACGTCAACGTTTGCCGGCTACGTGTCGTTATGCTAATTAATTTTATTTCGTGAAAACGAGTGCAAATTAAAAAAGCCATGGAGAGCAGACAGTACTTCCCGAAATTCTTTGAAACAACTTAAACAGAGAGCCATTGATAACATCTGACTTGCACCTGAGTCATCCCATTTCCCTGGCAAGATCGATAATAGACGTTTTTGAGAAAAGAATGCGATTGCCGTTCAGTATTTGCTGGCTAACTTGTTTACCAATAATATTGCCGTGCATTAAACAATAACAAATGGCTAAAGATAAACAAGAGCCCAAGGCGAGAAGCCCCTCAAGACAGTCCCCTTTTGAAATATACCCTTTATCTCTGGAAATGTCTGGGTTGTGCAGCGGTCTCCCCGTGCAACAAAAATAAAAACAATAGGTACACTGTTATAAAAAATACGTTTTAAATATTATACTCGATTTAAATATTTTTGTCACTGTGATTTATATAGTTTCATGGATTTTGTCATGGATTTTTGCTTTGATTTCAGTGTTCTAATATTGATTTTTGACTTGATTTTCAGGGTTCTATGGTTTTTAGTTATTTAAAATATGTTAATAAATAAATTTAAAAAAAAAAACTTATATGGTTTTCTGCTATTTAAAATATGGAAATAATAAATATATTTTCGGGATAGATTTTCCTATCTGTAATTGTATTTAATTTTATATATGCCTCAACTTAATTTAAATATTATGCATTTAAAATACATACTTAAAATTGTAATCTAATTATTTCCACTTTAGTTCATCTATTTGAATATTAAATCATGCATTTTAATATGCATTGCACTTAAATTAATGGATTTATATTTTATTTAATTATGACATGTAAAGTGATTATTAAAATAGTCGTACACATTTAGGAATCCATTTTTTTTCAGTGCATGGTTATTAGAATAAAGCAATAACAAAAAGAACAACCCGGTTTGTCATAAACTACGCAGAAAATACACCCCAGATAAAAACAAAAACATCAGCCGACCCAAGCATTATAATCAGGCGAGTAATTGAGAGAAAGAGAGTGGGAGAGAGAGAGAGAGCTTAGCTGAGCAAGAGAGAGCATGGGGGGTATAAATAGAGCCCGTTTTCGTAAAACCGCCAGCAATCGCTTAGCGAACAGCCAACGGTCAACGTCTAGTAGCCACCTAGGTTCAGAGCTCTTTATAGCTGATTAAGCAAATACAAACAACGCAGTTTGTGTAAACAATCAAATTGTCGCAGCCATATCGAGTGTGCTTACAAAACCAGCGGAAAGTTTCCAAAACCAATACCAATATCAATACCAATCAATAAAGATGTCTGCATCACCGACTGCCCGTCAAGCCATCACCCAGGCCCTGCCCGTGATCACCAGAAAGATTGTCATCTCGGATCCGATCCACATGCCGGAGGTCTACTCCTCGACTCCCGGAGGAACCCTCTACTCCACCACTCCTGGCGGTAAGTTTATGGATAGTAAATACAGGGATTACCCATCGTTATTCACAAAATTAATGGCAAAATCGGTTTATCAGGGTCAGAGATTGTTAAAGAATCAAATTAATTAACTAAATTTTATTTATTTTAAATTGATTGTTCAACATCCTTTCAACAGAATTTAAAGATTTAAAAACTCCATTGAATTTTATTTATATTTAAAAGCATTTGTCAATGAAATTTGTACAAGCTCAAGTTTAATACATATTTACAAGTATATATATAAAACAACATCTTGTCTTACAAATTAAACAACATGTTATATAATAATTCAATTTAAAAGGACTTAACAGTCTATTTAAAGTACTATTTAATCTGTTTAATACAGTTTCAAATACCTTTAAGCAAAACCTATTTAAGGCACCATAAAAATGTAATTTTATTTTACAAGTCTAACAATATAATTTATAATTACAACTCTGAAATTGAATAATGTCTGAACAATTAAACATCAAATTTCATTTTTCATAAGAATTTTCAATGATCTCAATGTGATTAAAAACAAAACAAATATCAAACCATTAATGCTCCACCATAAAATAAATTACCTAAATTCATAACTAGTTATGCCAATAATCTAATTACTGAGAAAAAAGAAGATATTCAAATTATGAAGGTTTTTTGCTTCTTTGTGTAAACTTTAAACAAACCTTTATGCATATTTATTTTTAAATCCTCACTCACCTTTTCTTGGCTGATGAAACCTGGTCATCTTACTGAATCAGTCAGCTTTTGATGACAATCGAGAGCACATGTGCTCGGTGTTTGTGACTCACTATCGCTCGAAAGAAATGTTTACGCAGCTGTCTTATCAGGGGGAAACTTTGAATACTCTTGCTGATGCAACACAGACACCCTGACTAATCAAGCTTTTTTCCAATTTTGTATAATTTTAGGCACTAAACTGATCTACGAGAGGGCTTTCATGAAGAATCTCCGTGGCTCCCCGTTGAGCCAAACTCCTCCGTCCAATGTTCCCAGTTGTCTGCTGAGGGGCACGCCTCGCACTCCCTTCCGCAAATGTGTGCCCGTGCCCACGGAACTGGTGAAGAAGACCAAGTCTCTGAAGATCGAGGATCAGGAACAGTTCCAATTGGATCTGTAGGGGAACTATTAGAAGTCCTCCTAAGCAGCAACTGCCAAAATCATTTAGTTCTTAGTTAAAACCCACTAAAAAACAACCGATCTTATAAGCTTAGTATGCATCGTTTTAGCCATATTCATAAACTAGCTGCTAAGTCCTTAGTTCTTCCACTTGTTTTGTTCTTTCGGTCATATTGACTTTGTAACTTGTAAAGCCCTAGATGTTAAGTGAAAAGCAATAAAAAAATACACATTATTTAAAAAAGAGAACATTTTTCTTATACTTATTAAAAAATGGAATAGATAAAAAAGAATTAATAAACAAATTATCTTACTATTAAATGCAATGCACATGATAAATAATTAAAATACAAAGCAACTAATTTAATATTAAAATTAAAGTGCAAAGTATTGCAAAAACAATTTAAAATTTAAGATATTTAAATCTATTCCTAAATAGCTTATATGTTAATTTTTATTTTAAAAATATTTAAATTTAGTACACACCTAGTATTTGGATTTAAAATTTATTCCTGACATAGACTTCCACAAGTATTTAAAATAACTTAAAAATATAGTGGATTAATATTAAAAACAAATACGTAATACTTGGATTTACTACGTTTTGTTTTTTAACCAATGCAGCTGAAGGGATATTATAGCTGTCATTGAAGTTATCAAGATCAGTTATTAATTTGAATTTAAAAGTACATGTGCGAATCCGCAATTACTTTCTTTATCAGCGAATGAACCTTGGGAGGCGTTCCACGAGTTTGATAGAACACTTTCCACTTCACCTTGAGTCAGTTTTTGGTTTAACATTATATTTTGGCAGTTTGTTGAACTGTTTGAACAGAAACACATATTGTTGAGGGGGTTTTTGGTGGGTGGGGGATTTTAAACATAGACTGCTGGAAATACCGGCCGGCTTTTTTAGTTAGCCAGTCAGTGGCCCCAGCAGCGCGTGTCCCAGTTATCGAAAATAATATACACACATATCTATATGGTATAAACACATGCAAACCAAACACAAGATCAACAACGCGTTTCTAGAAACCGGCAAACAAGCCCCACAAAAAATAGATCTTTAAAAACTGCGCAGTTAGGTAAAGACGACTGCCTCTTGCCTCCCTTTTTCACCACTATGTATACACTGATAAAAAAAATTAAAATGACTAGCCTGTGGCGTTGGGGAAAACTTAGAAATAAACTTTTAAATAACTTGAAATTAAATCCAAAATTTTATATATTATTTTTATATATTATAAATTATATTTTATATGCATATTAAGTGGCTCGATTTAATATTAAAAGTATTTTAATTAATGTGGAAAATATAGATCTATTTAAAATGGCCCGATTTTTTTTAAATGCATTATAGTTAAGTTTAATTTAAATTAAAATATTAGATACTAATAACTATTCCAAATATAAAATAATAAAAATCTAGTATCCATATTTATAATAACTAAAAACTAGCTATTTAAAGAAAATACTAGCAGTGTACAAAAGTATTATGCTAAGCACATGTTCAGATAGACCGATCCCTACAACAACTACTGATCCCGGCACGTTCCAGCCCCATTTGAATACTGCGCATGAATAATTACTTAATGGCAAATGGCAGACGGCAAACAGGCGCTGGCAAAGTGTTTGCTCAGCAGAGATTTAGCAGCGCAGTGCAAAATTTCGACCATACGAGATAGTGCAAATAGTGCTACGCGTGCAATTTCTGTCTGATCAACAGATGTTTACAGAGTTATAAATATTAAGCAATCAATTTAAATCAATGAGCAAACTACGCAAGCAAGTCGATACAAATAGTTGGTAATTAATTCTGAGTTGTATAAACAATGAATAAATTAAGTTTCGAATCCATGTTTATGTTGAGGTTCTTTCTTATACTAAATAAATATTAAAAAATAAATTTAAATTATCTGCCAGTACAAAACATATAAACTTGCAACATCATACATAAATATTAATCCAAAAATGTTCATAAATGAAAATTATTTTATAAAAAATTAAGAAACCCAATTAAAGTAAATGCTTAGTTATATACTTTTTATATTTTCTATACGACATAAAATTTCACCTGAAAAAAGTCAAAATGGACCGATCAAAAATAAGTAACTTTATTAAAGAGGGAATTATCATTACTTCAAACTTATTTGCATAAAAACTAAGGAACACTGCTAAATAAAACGTATTATTTTAAATTCGTTTAAGTAATTAGTTTGTGAAAAGGTTTTCAAAGTTTCGCGCTTGTCAACCTAAGTATTTTTACCTTTTAGTACTTTTTCAATAAATTTATAAAAATATAGTCTACTTTTAGGTAACAACAGCAATAATTTATAGTTTCCAAAGTGCTCGTTTTCATGATCGTTCATTATGGAGCCACTCAGTTAAATAATTTGCTTCTCTATATTACTTATGACTCTAATCTACCTTCTCTTAAATCAATTAATTGTATATTTGATTATTAAAATATTGTTGTTTATTTATTTTTAACCATATTCGTATTTATTTGATCAAGTTTCGCTGTTTTGCATAGGACAAATGTACAAGAATCTGAAATAGTTTAATCATGCTTACGGTCTACACAAACAAGAAGTGGTTCTTTAATTACATATTTACAATAAAATATACATATTTTCATAGATGTAGTACACAGAAAAAAAAAATTTGCCAATATCAATTGGATATTCAAAGGTTTAACTTGAATAATGTAAAATTGATAAGCTTTTTCTTTTTTTCGAACATATCAAATTGATCATTGAAATCAAAACAAGTCTCATTTGTTGTCAATTTTTTTTCTGTGCAGATGTAGATGTAGTTGTGTATGTGTGTGCGTGGTTAAGGAAGGTAGCCTCTCTCTACTTGAATCTCAGCAGGTTGTCCGCTCCGCCCAAGGGACCGTGACCAAAGTGCAGGGCATCCGAAGTGGATTCCGAACGGGTGCGTGCCTCCAGCACAGAAGCCAATCGCTGCTGACCACTGATGTAGCCCAAGGATCCGGAACCGAGGTAGACATTTCCATTGGCCAGCCGGACAAAGCCCAGTCCACCCGATCCCAAGGCTATGGCATCTCCTCCCTGGGATCCTCCGCCTTGAGATCTTGGCTGCACGGCTAATTGCTGCTGGGCTAGGATTGCGGAATTGGCTCGAGAATCTATTTGGATGCCATTGGCCGTCGGAGCACCCACATGTGCTCCATAGCGATCAAAGAAACTGGATCCACCGAGGAATGGACCCGGTGTCTCATCTATATCATTGTCAATAATTTCGATGACAGCATATTGCCTCAGTTGTCTGCCATTGGACACATAGGATTCTCCGGGAGAAATCAAGGCCTGTTTGCCAAAGGGTATGCGAAGATTTCCTCCTTCCGGCAGAGGAGCTGGTCCCGTGGGCGGTACCACAATGGGCGTGGCCAGTGTGGGCGGTCCATAGATGGGCTTAAAAGTGGGGGCGCCATGGAAACTTATCGATGTTATGGGGGCAGCCACCGGAGGGGGTATATAAGTGGAAACCACCTGCTTGGGCGGCAGATAATGACTAACGATGCTGGCAGCCGGAGCTGTGGGATGAATCGGTATCCTGGGAATCGGAATCCTGGCCGTTGGAAGTGGCGGGAGTGCGGGGATCGGAGGCAGCGGATGAATCGTGGGCAGGGCACTAAATTTATGGCCTGTATATGCCGATCCGGGTCCCGAAGGAGCCGATGGAATACTAGGCCTCGTGGGTCTGTTGTAATGATAGCCCACATCGGCTAGGCTGAAGGCCAGCGATAGCTGCAACAGCAGCACCAGAATACTCAGTCGGTGGTAAGGCATCTGTAATTGGAATTTGAAAGAGATTAGCTAAAAGCATGTGTAATGAAAAACTTAAGAGACTAATTAAAAGCTAATTAAAAGAGGAAATGTATAGCAATAGAAGCGAAATATGGCTTAACACACATGTAATTGGTTTAAGACATCACATAACCGCTCAATCAATTCGATAAATGTTTAATGAGCAGCCGTAAACATAATTGATCCAAAATCACTCAACTCTATTGGTTGCCGCTGTCTATAAGTTAGATACCCTAAAAACTATTTGGGTATATTCGAAATTTGTATAATTTACGAAAGCAGTTCTTTTATAACAAATAATTTGCGAGTTCAAAATATATTATTTTTAAAAAAGAAAACGTTATATAATGTTCTGTAAATTTGACACCAAATTAAATTTTAAGTGGGCACTTAATTTTCTTTAAATATAAAAATAAATTCTAATTTTAAGTATATAATTTGTATGTCATAATTCTGAATATATGTGCTTAATATTCTGTTATATTATATAATTAATGTTACTATTATATAATATATGAGTAAGTTACATTTTAGGATTCAAATTTATCTCACAAAATATTATACATCAACTTAAGCTCTGCAATAAATTTACAAAAAGGCAATATAAAAATGTACTGCAAGAGTATCCACAATTCGCTCATCTTTCAATCTTTTAAACTTCACTCTTTTTGATTTAATTGATTTAATTTCGCAGTGAGCCGAGTTAAAAGTAACTGGTTGGGGTTTGCCGGTAGATCGGTGAATCGTTGAATTGTTGAAAAGCCGAGTCTCTGGATCGAGTTGGCCGCTACTGTAGTTGGCGTGATATTTCATGCACAGATCGTTGCTCAAGGCGGCTATCATAATGGGAGGCGGTGGTTGGAAAAGAGCCACAAGCTAATTAGCAAATCGGATGGCCAACATCTCATAGTCACCAGGGGTCTTTTATTCATTCACCATTATTTATACAAAGCATCCCCACAAATCGCCAGCCAATTAAATCAAATCGCTGCACTTAATTGGATATTTATATTCATTCGTCCTATTAACACTTCCCACACAAATAGCCCTCCTTTGTGTGGCATTATCAATCTTCTTGGGCGCACTAAACAAAAGCCAACAGCAAGGCGGTCGGTTTAATGATATTTATCAACTGGCAGTCGCCACCACTGAACAAACAGCAATGCACTGAACAAAATGTAAATATTTGCAATGTTTTTCAACTAAAAAATATATATATTATATTATTATAAAATATAGAAATATTTCATATTAAAGTCGAACATTTGTGATTCTCAGCAATCATAAACTTATGAATACCTTTCCCATAAGATTTGTTTAGCGTTTATGTGCTTAGATTATTTATCATAAGAAATATTATTATTATACAATTTCCTATTTGTCCCTCTATTTTCATTTTTTTAATTGTAATTGCTTTTGAAATATTTTAAAATTGCTTTAAATAAAATTAAAATTTGAAGAGTCAAATCTTTATACTTTTATTTTAATAGTTTCAATATTTTAATTGTCATATATTATAAAAGAGATCGTTTTTAATAGTATTGGGTAATTTCAAAGATTTCCTTTTATTTTTTTATAACTTGCTAACTATTGACTATTTTCCCCTGTGTAGATACAAAAACAAACAGCCACTGTACTATAGTAACTGGCAGCAGGTTCAAACTCAGGGGCCATGGTTAAATTGGGACCAAAGGGGGCGTAAAGGGGGCGGGGCGTGGGAAGTGTGCAGCCAAGTGGCGTGTGGTCATTGTTGTTGTCTTGCTTTTACTACTCCAGTTGTTGTTGTTGTTATTGTTTTTGCTGCGTGGGCGTTGCTCTGGTGTCAGTTGTGGGTTCAGATCATGCATCGAGTTGTTGCTGGCTCACTTGCCGTTGTTTACATAAAAGGCGTTTAATTAAGTCATTAACAAGGGGGAGATAATAATGCACTTATTTATGTAGTGCCACCAAATGGATTTTAAGGAGTTTTTGTTGTTTCTGGGTTGTTAGGCTTACAATCAGATAATAAATTAATATTACCTAAGGCTATTGTTAAACATCAAACCAATTCATGCCTATTAAAAAATAGTAAAAAGTTGGTTTTATAGCTCATAATTTAATATTATATTCAATTTTATAGTCCGCGATTCCATTAATATTACAGAATACAAATCCTGTACATAGCTGTTTAATTTAGTTCTCTTAAAAGTTTTAGTTATGTTTAACTTCCCCAAAACAAGTTTGTTGCCTAAGTCTTTTGTTTATGTACCTCCGCTGATGAATAAATCTCCTGCTACGCACAAAAGTTCCTTTGACTTAAAAAACCACTTATCTTGAGCCCAGCTCAAATAGATTTGTAATAAATTATGCGCTATATGCACGATAATAAATCAATAAATTGTGGCCATACGCAATTTTTTGCTGGTCATCGATTTTTCTTGTCTTTTTGCTAACTTTTTTTGCGTGTGCTCAATTTTTTTTTTTTGCATACTGCGAAAACGCATTTTTCTACACAGAGCTGGCAGCGTGTGCCAAGTATAGTATACGAAAGGAGCAGGGGTTTTTTTCTTTATTGAAAACTGGGAAAACACACGCCATATAAGAGGGGAAAATGGGGGAAATCAGGGGGCTTTGGAGGTGACAGTTCAGACAGTGACAGTGAAGGGGTGGTCAAAGATTGCTTTTGGATTAGATCAGGTTAAAAACTGTGAGTAAAATTTTCTCAATAAGGAAAACATGGAAATAGTATACATTAAAAGCATAGTTTTCTATGAAAGAAAAAAAAAGAAAGCCTGATGTAGTTTTTCAGAAAAATCGGATAAATTCAGTCAATTTCATATTTTTATTTATTTAATTATTTATTTCAATTTAAAATCAAAATTTAAAGAAATGTTATGTATACCTAGTGATGAATATAAAGGCACTTCTCGTCGTTTAAATCAATTGAAATAAAAGTATTAAAAGCATGTTTTTGTTATGAGAGAAAATGCAAAAATATGTTTACTTAATTTTAATAGCATACAATTTCTGGTGATTAATAGTAGCTTGTTAAGTAACTTAATAAATTCCTTGTATTACTAGACTTGAAAAGCATTTCTTACCATTACAAATTTAGTGAAGTAAAACATAATAAATGCAATATGAGAGAACATGTTAAAAACATAGATATTTTAATAACTTACATTTCCTACTGATTAAAAGTTGCTTGTTAAGTAGTTTGAAATTTTAAGAAAACCTCACCCTCTTCCCAACGCCACTGGACTTGAAAGGCACTTGGCCAGCAGGTAAAAACGTCAACTTGCGTGTTGTTGGCCACTTCAGGCTCAATGAATGAATTGCATTGATTGAACGGCTCACGCACCTCGCTTTGGGCCTGGCTTTTTTTAGCTCACATCGCTCTATAAATTTTCTGTGGATTTTCCGCCGCCAGGGAACAGAGGGGCGGGGCAGGGAGTGGGCGGAAGGCGGTGGAAAGCGGGGCGGGAAAACTGTGTCAATGCAGCTCTCGGACTCGCTTTGATTTGTTGATAATTTTTGCGTGGCACATTGCATCACCGAAAATGTGGCGCACTTTTTTTTTGTATTTTATTTTTGGCAGCGGAAATTAGATTTTTAGCCAATCTGTTAATTAAAATCCTTTACGATTTTCCCAGTCACTTGTATGTGAGTAAGAGCCAAAGGCTAAGAAGTTGCGGCCATAAAACGTAATCAATGCGTTGCATATTAAGTTGCAGTAGCCAGGATGTCACGTTATGGCCTCCTTCTCTCTGCAAGTTGTGCAATTTGCAGTCTTTTTATTTCTATATTTTTGGGTTTTACGGATTAGCTGGAGGGGCGTTTTGTTTGGGTTTTCGGATTGCATTGCGTTTAAACTGGTTTTGATAAACTGGTATCAATTGGCATCTCGATACTTAAAATAATCTCTGGATGATGGTGGCGAGCAGGGCCGGAATGCGAATTGCTAGCTATTGCATCAGTGGGGGTTGCTAGCCGAGTTGCCGGCACATTAATCACTCGGCTGTACATCCTTCTACCAGCGATTTACACGCCGAAAATGACCATGTCCAGACCGAGTGGACATATCATGACAAATGTTGCGTATGCGCCGCGTTGACCGACTAAGAAACGTGAAAGGAACTGTGGTGGAGTCGCTTGAAGGTGGAATACTCTTGCAAAACGTTCAATAGCTACTGATTTATTAAATAATTACTAAATTGTTAGCTAGAAGTAACTAAGAAACTATTACATTTTCCTTTCTGCATTACAAAAAAGTATTTAAAGTAATAAGAATCTATTTTTTTGTCAATATATGAAGCCATAATTTATTAAGTTTTCTTATATTGATAACAAAACGTACTGATTGATAAGCAAAAAGCTTAACAACTTAAACTTAATATTATGGATCTATAAAAAAATACATTTTTAAAATAAAATATGATATTTTGTCCTTATTTAAAGCAATAAGAATTTATTCATTTTATCAATATATTTGTTAAACCGTAATCTAAAAAGTTTTCTTATATCGAAAATCAAACGTTTCCATATTTTTTACGCATTTTTGGACTTACTTCCTTATTAATAAGGAAAAGGCTTAACACATTATATAATAATATTTCCTCAAAACTACAAAACTTTATTAATCAATAAAAAAACTCGCACTTTTATTATTTTCTTCTTCTCTCTTCTCTGAAACTGAAGTAATAAAAATATGCCATCAAATGTCAGCCAAACGTAACATAGCTAAGTTAATTAATTATTTACTTTCCCCATAAAAAAACCCATTAACTATCCTGAGGCCATCAAACCCCTCAATGCGATCTCGTCGCCCGCAATCGTTTAAGGGTACTCAGAAAAAAGTTATCAAATCGAACGACAAGTTTTTAATTACCAACGCAGCGCAGCACAGCACTTTCAAATGCGTAAACTAGTTGTCTAGTTGCCAGACAGTCAGACCATTGCAGATTTCAATTAAAAATCTTTGAAACTGCAACTCCAGACATCGA